TGTTGTTAATTCTAATTTATATTGTCTAATTCGCCATGTTCACCGAGTCTTTTGGACTATATTGTACAGGGTGTGTTCAAATTCTACTTTAATTTTGTAAATTATTTATCTTATTACACGCTTGTAAAGTAATTTGTCGTATACAATGGAAAATACATTGTTACCTAAACGGAAAAAGATTCGAGGGACGACAATCGATTACTTAGTCTGTGTGTAATTAGTTTATCGTTACTGGCGGTATTGTTATGTATCGATTAGTTGTGAATCGATTTATGACTGGCTGTAACTTATTCTGTGTGCGTGTATACACACATTTTTCCAACCTACTTGTTCTTCGACAGTCGTAACTCGAGATATTTTAAAGTAATTTTTTAGCGAAATTAAAAAAAGAAAGAAATGCAAAGAGTTTCTTTGAATATTAGGTATTTTTTGTAATATTAGCCGATATCTCATTATTAAAATGTACTATTTACCTACTCATTCTACTTTGGCGCACTACGTAAACTTATTTCGTACAATTAATCGAAAGTAATCTTTGATTTTTCAACAGTATTAGATCCTAATTTTAATTAAGATATTTTACGTGCTAATTTTGAAGACAGCGTCTTGTTGTATGTATAAATTAATAAAAGTAAGACTATCCATCTACAGGACGATATTTTGAAAGAAATGTCTTTGTAAAATACTTCTACATGTTTTAACCTTATCAAATCGTCTTGAGATGTGGGCTCTTAAATGTGAAAGAACTTATATCGTAGCGGTTTTCGAGAGTTATCGATTCTGAGGGTCGGCGTATTTGAATCTGTGATATTAATAAACATCGATGATGCCATATAAAAAGATGGCTGCTTGCGTTATGCAACTGTAATATGGGATTTATTTAGATGTTTATTTTATTTTTAATGTTTCGTGTGTTCGTAAGAAATATCTTAACCTCAATTAGGTTCCGGTAAATTTATTAACCTATTCGTGAATAATTTCAGACTGGTAAATGATTCTGTTTATTATTAAAATATCATATAAATGGCATTTTGGGGGGTGTTTTGGAGGGGTAATACGTAACAAAATTAACTTGCGTGATCTTTTATTAATAATTTTAACATTTGCGAGTGTGTATCCAGATATACATTTCACTTTTTAATGTTGTTTCACGTTTAAGAGTCAGATCTTCGCGTTGTGATAAGGCTGAAACGTGTTGTAGGGAGTATTTTCGTAATAAATTTTTTGTGTCCACGGAAAGTCTTACTCTTATGGGTACCTGGTGGTTCATTGGTATTTTCCTCCTTCTAAGACGCTGGTATAAACGTTCTTTGGAATGATTTCAATTTAACAAATGAACTGAGAAATTCAGTTAAGATTTGATGTGTGTTCAGTTCGATTGTGAGGAATACGAGAGTCGCTTACATAGTACCCAAGTTTTGTGACGGGACATTTTGTTTTGAAAAATAAAATATTTTATTTGTAAAAAAAACAAAAATAACACGTGGCTTCGAGTCATTGTTTAATGTTTTGTGTAATTGTGTGTTTATTGTTGTTATGGTAATAGCACTGCATTGTTTTCTGATGTATTCTTGTGTTAGCGATTAAAATGCAAAGCTGTGGTGCATTTAAAGCCGAATGATTCATAACACAATCCACCCTGGTCCACCCCGATAACTAAACTTCCTGTCTTACTGGCTGATAATTCTCATATAAACAGAGAATTCCTGTTCTGAGATTGTCTTAATTAAAACCTCTCGAACCCAGATCTTGGTCTACCTAAACATCAACAATAATGGCAGAAATAACTGCATTGTTGTGTACATTTTGTTTCGAAATGCGAAGACTGCTCACGAAACCAACGCTGAGAGCGCCTGCAGCGGACAAAATATGAAGTAAAATGGAACGGTGAGTAGCATGGCATGGCGTGTTAACATTGACGCATGCGCACTGTTTATTTTGTATGAACACTTTTCTGCAAGTATATGTTGTTTTGAATGCGCTTACCACAATATCTTGTAAGGAACGTCGAAAATTATATATATTTTTTTAACTTGTCATAGTGCACTGTGTTGACGCGACTTATAATTATGCCCAAAATGTCGAATGTACGTTAACAAGCTCGGTTTGACGCAACTTATAATTATGCCCATAATGTCGAATGTACGTTAACAAGCTCGGAACTTACGCGCGGGAAAATGAATGTTGTGACCAGTTTTGTCGATTATGGTCTTGTGTGTTTAACGGAAGAATGCGTGTGTCATCTTCAGGCAGAAGATGGAGGTGGTACGCTACTCCAAAGCGCTGGTTAACACTTGTAAAACCATTCGGCGTCATAACCAAGATGGCGACAATCCGCATTAATTTATTTGATAGAAACAAATGTTAAATCGTCATAACTCATAATTAAATAACTTTAAACTTACAAGTCGTGGATTATATGCCCCCAATGGTACAATATATTTTAATATAAGGGCGTATACCAAATATTACTTGTGTAAATGTAGATATTGTGATTATTTGTCGAATCTTGTATTTTCTTCACCTGAGTTCCGGGTACATTCACGCCGAAAGCATATTTCCATTCTGAGGTTAGCTCACAGTTATTTTTTTTTTTTAAATTTGCCGTGGTTTTCCTCACTCTTACAAGGTTTAAATATTTTCTTGAAATCAGCTGAGAGTGCTTCCATCCCAACAGGCATATATTTATACACTTTTTATTTAACAACCCTCCCGTCTAATTTGACGGTAATTAACTGTGACTAAAATAAAATAAATATTTTTGACTACTGGGTAGAAGCCACGTCATATAGACATTAAGCTAATGTAGGATGTCGAATTTTGGCTTATGGTTGTAGCAACGTCGTGTGGACTTGTAGGTAAATAACAAACATTTTGTAGATGGAAGTAATATATTCGTACGAAACACTGGTGTCGACCTAAAAGGGGCACACACGGAGTTTCAACCTGGAAGACCATTATCAAATTTGTAATTGTATGGATTTAAATTACAGCCAACATTTTTTTAAAATACAACTACAATTTTCGTATGTCTATGTTTAACTGTTGGTAATTAACACTAAATCAAACTGACGTGAAGTTAATTTACGTTAAACTGTGATGCATTCGATAATTAATTTTTTTTTGGTGGTATTACACAAATTCACTGGGAAATGTTCATATAATTTTGGTAAAGTAAAGACTTTTATAATGTACGTACATTCGATATTGTTGTTATTCAGTTATATATATATTATGAATAAATTTGCCTTGAGTATTTCATTGTATTATCACCGTACACGATTTGCAGTTTAGTTTTAAGTAGCTTTGTAGACTATTCTAATGTTTCTGTGATTCGTCTAGTCGTCTGTGTGTGTCACACATCTCTGCTTCTTCTCTGAAATCTTTCTTGTTATGGCGTCTCATTGTTTGCTAACTCTCGTTTTCGCGCTGTATGCATTAAACATTTTTCTGCGTCTCATTGTATGCTAACTATGGTCTTCGCGCTGTATGCATTAAACATTTTTCTATCTCCAAAACTTGTACTGTAATTAATAGCACATAATTTATCTCAGATCCTAAACATTAAAATACACAAAAGTATTCTTTCCTTTGCTTGAATAGAATAATCTTGAGAAGACGGTGTTGTATAGAATGTTTTGACTAGATGTAAAACAGCGTAACAAATATTTATATTCTTTTGATAAACATGAGTTTGTAAATGTGTATCTTCGTCGTATAATGCATTTCGTTTCTACGTCTTTTAAATACAAATAAACAATCGAAAATGCTCGTTCTTCGCTTTAAAAGTTATTTAAAAGTAAACATAACCTAAAATATTTTTTTTATTTATTATTTCGCGATTCTTTCATGCATTTGTAAACTTCTACGTGTATGTTTAGATAAACCTTCTTAAAACAATGTAAATTTTAACGGGGCACTTTAAGTCTTTTGCTTAGCACTTGGAAAATTAATGAACTGCAATAAATAAACCCAGAATTTTCATTGTTCTTTATTGAATGGAGGTTCTGATGGATGTGACGTCACATAATTTTTTATCATTTATTTATGTGTCTCCGCGTCATTACATTTATTCAAATATAAATCTGTCATCCATGTTACACAGTATTATTGCATCCGAGACAAATTTGGTGAAGTCGCTACGCATCGAGTAGGATTTGAGGTTAGGTTCTTACGGTGGTGAGTCTGAAGATTGCTGTCTTCTGGGTTGTTGCGCCGTGTAGTATAGTAGAAATTCACCGACGTTTCAGAGGGCCTTGCTACCTCAATCGTCAGATAGATACATCATAGCCCTGTGAGACATTGGTAATAGGGTTTATAAAAAACCGACTTTTGAAAAAACCGGTTTTCGAATTTTTACAAAAAAAATTAAAACAGTAAAAAATATTTATACTTATTTAAAATTTTCCAGTTTACTTAATATTTATGGAACTACAAATATATAAAACAAAATAAAATATACTCGATACAAAACCAAATAAAAAAATAAAAAAAATAAAATCCGTACAAAATATAAATTTTTATTTCATTTAGTGTTTTTCTTCAGGAAATATGATTTAAAAAAACATAAAATATCCACTGAACGATTACCGAATCTTGTTCTTATTCTAGATACAAAACTGCCCGAAATAGAAAATACTCTCTCACTGGCTACTGAACTTTGTTTTATCGTTTTCAGGGCATCAAAGAATAAATCCAAATTCTTTGTTCTTTGTAGTCTTACTACAATATGCTTGTGCCCGAGGCGATTTCAAGTTAAAATGTTAACGTTTTTAATTAATTAATTTTTACACAATAATTATAGTATCTAAAACCGGTTTTTTTAAAATTTTAAAACCCGGTTTTCGAATTTTAAAAATTTATCCAAAATAAAACCCGGTTTTTAAAAATCGACAAACCCGAATTGGTAAATTTCTAGCGGAATACACGAGGCAACAACCCAGAAGACAGAGCCATCTTCCTTACGTACTAGTGAATACTGGAGGCGTTGTCTTTTGCAGATCGAGAACCAGAAGTTGGAATTTAAGGCACAGAGCAAAGTTGGCTCCTTGGCCAATGTGAAGTACAAACCAGGCGGCGGTGATATCAAGATCTTTGACGACAAGGTCTACCTGAAGCAGATCAGTGGCGGTGCTAGCAGCATCGCGAGCTCTGAGGACGAGCGTGTCTCTGGCACACAGGTGACAAGTCATTTTGCATGCTGATCGTAACTGGTACACGCCCATCAGGCTCTGAGATCTTTTTGTAAAATTCTATGATTTAGAAGTGAGGTTAGGTTTGCACTGTGGTCGGAGGATTGCCTTCGAATTAGTTACATTTTTGCTGACAGAACTCGAAGAAGATTCAGTATCGATAACACCAAAGCTCGACATTTGACAGTGTTGAGCCAGTTCAATCCATCTTTTATCCTCACGGGCTGTTAGTATCCTCGCATTTATTTTCTCAAGTCGTAGTTTTATATGAGATTTTTCGTCTTAGCCTCCGAGATATAATTTTCATAAAAAAATCTGAGTTATCTAAATAATTTGCTCAGTGGTGTAGAGTCCTTTTTGAGAAGCTAATAGTAGCTCAGCAGGTATAAATGTCCTTTTTTATATAACCCAAAGGTTCAGTGTCATGTTGACAGGAACTGATCACTGGATCCTGTTCTAAGCCAGATTAATCCAATCCATATGCTCTTATCCTTGTTATTTTAAAGTATGAATACCTTTTTAATATTATACCCTCTTGCGATTCAAAATGGAGTTTTGAATTCGATTTTCGAATCGATTCATGACTTAACGTTACTACATCGTTGATGAATTTATTTCGTGTAATTTATTTATTCAATTTATACTTTTGTAGTCCAGTTAATTTAGTGTTATGTAGGAAAATTTCTAAGTTACTTGCTATACGTTCAGTCCATCTTATACTCTTCGATTATTTTTATAATACTGCGTGATGCCATATAATCTGAGCTACAGAAAATTCACGGAGTCCTCAGGTGGAAAACTGTTTCCAGAGATTTCGGCCCAAAACTGGAGACGCGATCTCTCTGCGTGGAACCTAAATTGGCGTCAGAGGGTATGTGTGACTTCAACAAATTTGTCTTCAGGACCTTTTGATGGTTACGCGAATTTTTTTGTGTCTTTAAATTTGAGATAAAATTGAATGGTAAATTTTGACCTGAGACACAAAGGAATTGTGAGGAAGTTGGAAAAAATTATAATAAGGACCTTAACTTTTTGTACACTACGCCAAATATTATTATGGTGATTGAGTCAAGTAGGATGTGATTGGCTGGATATATAGCATGGGTTCAACATTTGGATACAGAAATCTGAACAAAAGAAGACCCCTTAAGGTACTAGGCGTTGGGAGGAGGATAATATTAAAATGTACCTTACAGAAATGAGCGAGATTATGGATTGGATTTAACTGGCTCAGAATTGGGACAAGTAATTGGCAGTTGTGAACACGACAATACGGAGCGTAGTTTCATAAAAGGCCGGTAGGGGGATTTCTTGACTGGTTGAACTTGTTCAAGAATGACTGTAATACACAGAAATTTTAATGACTGCAGGCAGTCTTGCATTTTGGGTTAAGAAACCAGACTTCACATAATTTTATTTGGTTAGAGTGGTATCGCTTGCGTTAGAGAGATCGAACTGGTTCTGCAGTCGAATGAACGTAGCCAGCACTGATAACACTGCACTCTGTTGGTCACTTGCAACATCATATAGTACGGGTATTGTGTTAGCTGGAATGACGCACTGCGCGCGCACCTAAGTACTTAGGCCTGTCATGGCGTAACGTAGACGCTTACACTGGGTCCTAATTCTAATGAACTTAAATATTTCGAATCATTTTCGTCATATTTCGATTATTATTAATTTTTACATAAATGGGCACACAATACTGACATATTTTCTGTCCACCTTGTCGTTAGATTTTCGCGATTTGGAGTTTGTTGTGTCATTTGGGGCTTTCCGGGACGAGGCGCGTCGAATTTTGACGATTGTCCGACGTTTCGGCACACCACTTCTCTTCTAACATTCGACAGCATTCCGTTCTTGTTTGTGAACAAGCTTGCATTTACCTGGAAGGCACGTGCGCCAGAAACCATCCGCGTTTAACCGACGATGGCTGACACTCTGCAGGCCCGTCGATTCTGCCCCTGATAAGGCGACCAGGTCGACAAATCGATTATTGTCAGGCACTGTTCGGCCTTCAAGACTGATTTTCTTCATGATTTTCATCGTTTTTAAGGTTGTTACTAATTATCCCGATGATGGAGGCAGCAGGGACCACCGAAACGTTGGTAAACGTCAACCAGACTAGACGCTGCTGTAACCCAGACGGCAGCCATGTTCATTTTCATCGTCTTGAGGGCCCTAAATCTCAGCGTCACTTTTATTACTTGCTTCTCTATAAATTTTAGGAGTTATTTCATGCATACAGGCGGACGGACACAAAGAGAAAATATCCGGTAGACATTTGCCTAAACTGATCATGCGCATTTGTGAGTGTAATCCCCCCGCCGTCTTTTGTTTGATTTGATTCACGCGCCAGGAAGTGACGTAAGGCCCGTTGTTTGCAGAGCCCAGTAGCCCATTCGCCGTCCCAGGCGGATTTCGAATCCGGCTCTCACCACGAAGACAGCTAAGACAATCCGCATGGCGGCGCCACGGGCTGCTTTTGATCTCGTCCCATCTTCGATTGTGATTGGCTGATGCTGACTTCAGATTCTCCCTGCACAGTAATTAGAGGGAGAGAGAGAAACTGAAATCATCTTTCATTTGCAATAAGACTTTAACACATAACCTATACTGTTGGACGCAACGTAATTCAGAGAGGAAGAGAATTATCGTGGGTGAATGTTGGTTGTACTGAAAATACTGCTCCAGTTTGCTTCTTTGTTTCTTATATTGTTAGTTTTGAACAGCATTGCACCTGAATGTTGCTGATTTTGCAGATAGAATAATCCAAGCTTGACTCTTGCAAAAGATCGTTGCTTGTAGCCAGTTTGTTCGCGGAATAATGACGCGATAATTGGTTGTCTAGGCAGCAGTGTGTTTATATTGGGCAGTGATAATGTACTTATTTTATTTTTTATTGTTGTTGAACGTGCAGCCAATCAGATAACGACAGGCAGATTTAGGAACCGTGAAGATATTATCTACAGGGTGGTTGGGAAGTAAGTAAGTAAGCATTAAATAATCGCTATATATGGAAATATAGAGGTTATAACCATTTCTCAATGCCTACTTACTTCCCACGATGTTTGTATTGGTCTTCACATGTATGACGCATGCGCTATCCGCCTTTCTGTGTATTGTAAAATAACCATTTTATATAATTTACGTTATTGTTTTAAGTATATTTTGTCATTTACTTGAGTATAATTTATATGAAAGATTTATTGAAATTAATCATAACATAAAAATTTAGGTTTGCTTCAATTTGATAATGTGCAAAACAAAACAGACGTATATAATTTTTTAAAAATTATTTCTTGAAGCTTTTGATGTCATGAATATCATTATTCAATACTGCATGAGTCATTGAATTCTAATAATATATTCACGTTTTTTTTTCGCTTTCAAAAAGGGTATATGACGCAACAATCGTATAGTTATCCCAATGATTGTTTGCTTGAGAGCACTTAACCTACGACCCAGCACTCCAGAGTCGCCTGGAACCATGAAAATGGCTGTGTACATTAACAGTACTTTTGTCCGCATTGCGATTGTCACTTTTTCCTTTCACAGATGCTAATCATTCCCCTCTCATAATGACTTTCCGAGAAAAGTAATCTCTGCTTTTTATAAAGGGGATACGAATACCTGAGTACAGACTTTTTGTCTAATTGAATGGTATAATTTCAAATGTTATTGCGAGCTGAAAGATATGTATCAAATTAAATATGACGTTTCCATAAATTTGATTATCAGATATTACAAGAACTGGCAAGTTTTAGTATTTCAGGAACGAAATATATTTTTATAACCTAATAATTCTTGTTGTGATTTAAACATTATTTTACGTGATTATGTAGCTTAGTATTGACTATACCGTGTCTGGATCTAAAGTCATACATTTCATTACATTGATAATTAGAAAATATATGAATTATTTTTTTTAGTACAAGTTTTCTGGTGCCCCGAAAGAACATGGACGTTTTGAAAGTGACAAAATAAATTTCGTTTCAATGTGTGAACTGTAGATACTTTGTCAAACACCAAACCAACAAAGACACAATGTCTTTGGTACAGTACAAATTAATTGAATACCCGTCGTTATAATTGGAATTTTAACGAACTGCGTTCTAAATAAACGCCTGAACTGTCTTCTCACATTACTGTGAAAGCTGTTTCCCCCCCTCCCCGCAAAGCTCCGACGTGGCGTGCAGCTGCAGTGAACAGTTTAAAGTTGCTGTTTCACTGTTGAGGTTATGTTGTCATTTCTAACGAGCTGAAACAATTGAATGATTAGCATCTGTGTAGTGCTTATAAATACAGCTTTGTAGTATTGTGTTGTTGTCTGTTTGTAGAGATAATATCTGCAATAAATGTCACCTGTATCACACTTTATTATTACGTCACAATGCAAGCTCCACGATTCGCCCATCACAGAATCCACAGCACTCCATTATGGAAGGATTTTGTCTTTCTGTGAAACAAGACGTCGTGAGATGTAAGTAGCAATTTTTATTTCCTTTATTGACTTCAAATACGTCCCCAGGTTGAAATTGGGTGTAAAAATTTAGTGTTGTCTCTTACGAATAACTACTTTGAAGGTCTCGGGAATAAAAATCCATTTTTCATTCAGTAGCTAAATCATCTGCTTACGCACGAACGTAGAACTAACATTCACGAAAAAAAGTCTCTCTTTCTCTGTTAAATTTCCCGTTCTTCTCACCCAATGCCCTCCTTTTATTTACCGAACAAAGAGTACAGACGTCTTATTAGAACGTTTTACCTTCTGTTACTTAGTTCGCATTTTTGTCAGCGAGGGCTTTTGTTTTATAGCCGTTGATTGCAGCGCACCCAAGCGGAAGAAATACGAAACACGCCACTTTCACACACACAAACATTGATTTGGTAATGGCTTGTTTATCGCCGGTCTGTGCCTCGCACAGAACCGAGTAATAATCGTAATTTGTTGGTTCATCAAGCGAAGAAGCATTACTTTAAACACCTTCCGAGCGATTCGTTTACACCGGAAATGTCACAAAATTAATACAATAACAGCGCTTTACGTCATTAGCCTTTTAATGAAGAGTTACGTCACATCCTGTTTAGAGTAAAGGTCATTTTAAAATTTAAGGCTAAAAGAAAGTTGGTTTTGAAAGAAATTTCTTCGTGGGAGTATTTTAAACAAATGCTGAACTAAAATTTTAATTAATTATTCGATTATTCGATGTGGAACATAAAATGATATTTTAATTATATTATTTGTAAATTTTAAATATAATTGTGATTAGACGGACAAAACCGAATAATTAATTTAATATTTGATTCACAATATGACGCAATTATACTATCTTATAAAATTTTAATATAATGTTTGATTAACACAGGTGTTAAAATCACGTCTGATTAGATAATATCTACATATTTCTGTAGAATTAATGTACACGTATAAGTTAAAAGATTTTTCATATTTCAAATCGTGAGCTAAGTTGAGGATATTCTATATATTTTTAGATGACTTCTGACGACGGTAAGAACTCATGTAATATTCGATTAAAAATTTCATTAACCTACCATATGATATCTGAAAACCGAAATATAAAAATAAATTAATCTCTTATTTACATTCCTAAGTGAATATACAGACTTTTCTCAGCTGATTTCTCACAAATAGGCTTTGCAGTGCGATCAGGACGTTTCGACTGGATTAATAAACACACTTTATCCCCGTGACTGTACAAGAGCCCACGCAGGTCACGTGATGTATAACGTTCTCGCGCCCAGCCCGTCAGTTGTCTTTCGACAATCGAGAAGACGTTTATCGATTCTCCTGCAATTTTTTTTTTAAATACATCCGCTTTGTTATTGTCTCGCGTAATTTCATTCTATTCTTGAATTTCACATCACATTTATTATGTTCACGCGTGGAAAATTTCCTGAGTAGTCTATGTCAATATATAGGTAGGACTCGGTTTACGCCGGGGTTAGGTTAATGACATTTTCGGCGTAAATTGAAGCAAAAATATAATGGGAACATATGTAAGTAAATACATTAGGTTCCGTTTCACGTTTTTCAGTAATCAACACAAAATACTTGAAAAATGTTTTATTTTATGAAATTTACGTATTCAAAATTGTATAATGTTTAAATAGAAAATTTACTGCTTTTAAAAACGACAGAATAGATGTCTGTTTGGCTTTCCTATTTTCTGATAATAATTTATAGTATGGCTGTAGAACTGTACAAATTAATCAATTAATGTATTTTTATTTTTTCTCGTCGCATTTTATATTCCGATTTTTGTTTAATTATCTAAATTTTAGGCCGTAGTTTATCATTTAATATTAAAATTTTATTAAAATTTAAGTTTTATTACAATACCAGTCGTGATCTATGAGAGACGTAAAATTGAAACTGACGTAAATTGAATCGACGTAAATCGAGTCCTACCCGTACGGTGTTAACAGTTATTTTAACTGATTTTAATTCAGACTACTGAATTAAAATATAACATTATCTAGATTAATTGTCTTGTTGAAACTTGTTACAAAAATTCTTCTTTAAATAAAAACCCAATTAACCAGTCGTCGCCAAACGGTTATATATGAGAGAGACTCTTGTTTGAACGATGGACGTACGTCTTAAAACAGAGTAATAGACAATGAGGACTAATATTTTCTGTTACGTCACTGCCAAAATATTTATCTTGTTTCGCCAAAATTATTACATTAATTCTGAGACCCTGGGTCTACCAATTCCTAAGAAAATCAATGATGTTTTATGACGTATTAAATCACCCCAATTATCCAGTATTTGGCGGTTAACACGTATCGATGTTTCCATTCAGGGCGACAACAGACGACAAAGAATGAGTAAGATTTCTGAAGAAGATATTAATGAGAACAGGAAAGAATCTTCTGGTACGAGGAACACTCCGACGAGGTTGGACCCGGCTTGTGACGCCGCCAGGACATTCCTATCTGCAGCAATTGACATGTCCCTTCAAAGTGGAGCCATGGAGTTTAACCACAAGCGGAAATCCAGACAATTATATAATCACGCTGCCCTGTCCAATGACCGACCAGTCGTTGATAAGGACAGTTTAGGATCTACGCTTGTCACACAGAAGGAAAAGATCTTCAATGGAAAATCCGTTCATCTCCCATCTCTTGAGAAAATCCCATCACCACCTTCACGTATCAGAAGTAAACAGAAAGTTATCAATAACGTGTTCACCAGAATATCGGATGGGAAATAACATTTCTCGTTCGAGCAGAGATTACGATATTGGGCCAAGCCCTTCCTGAAGGTGGAGACCTTGAAGCTTATCAGACAACCAGTCAATGTGAACATATCACATATAGGATTATTTTATGCTTTATAATATTCATGTATATACGTTAATTTATAGAAAATCACGTTATTTTAGAAGAATAGATGAATTATTAGTAGCAGAGATTAATTAGGGTTGATAAAAATATGTATACAAACAGTCGTTTCGTGTTCAAACGCAAACTAGGCTTCGTGACCTTGAATTCGCGTGACGAACTGGGACAAACCACAGAATATTTCGGTGTCCGAAACGAGTTTTGAATCCGGAATCTTCCGATTACAGGTTGGAAGAGTTAGGCCTAGTGTTTGAGGTCACACACGTCTGTTAAAAACACTATAGGCTATAATAGGCTTTTTATGTAAAGATTCAAGCTGCCCCCCCCCGTGCCCAAATAGCATGACAAATGGTTTACGTCTGATCTTAACTCGTGGACGCCTTCCTGAGATACAAATTTTTCCTTGTCTGTCATTATTTAATTTACTCTAACTTATTTGGAAATATAAATATTAAAATGCATGTTTTTATTAAGTACGAAAACTTTTAGTATCCAACCGGATTTCCAAATCGTAGAAGAAAGATTTTATCCTTTGTTATGTATGGTTCTTAACGTGTTCTCTTGCATTAATCGCTTGGAAATAATTTTCAAATTCAATATTTCTATATATTATTTAAATCTTGTCCGTCTAATCACAATAATTTCTTATCAGATATTAAAATATTACAATAATTAACATTTAAAATATTTATTTCTGTATAAACGATGCGAGATCTTAGCCTCCACACCGACGTGGAGAAAAACGTATTCCGGGTCATCCAGGACAGTGAAGTCAAGGTTAAGATGACCTTTGAACCTGCCTAAGGAATGAAGGCCTGCAGAATTTTTTAATGGTGGGACCCCTTTCAAAATCCTATTAGAAAGACGAAGGAAAAAGAAATATTAATGCAGGTTTTGAAGATGGAATTTGGTTGCGAAATTTTACCCTCTTACAAGGAAAGGATTTGGGGATTTCACGGCTGGAATCATCGCTCTGATGATGTAGGCAGCAAGGACCTCGGTAAAATTCTAGCAGACTACGACGCTACAAGCCAGAAGACAGCCATCTTCAAACATGCACTTCTCTGCCATCTACAGATTAGCTACGAACTAAAGAGAATACGTAATAACTTCCCCAGCTAAGCGACTCTTTAAACTGTGGAGGAGAGGAAGTGTTCGTGGAATGAGGGAATGCCTTATTGTTCAATGCGAAAACATACAAATTATGTTTATCGCAAACTTTTAATCGTGATTCATCTTCATTTCACAAACACACATAAGTGAAAGCGTTTAGTGTTATAATAGTCATTGTCCCAAGCGCTTTACTTACGGAACGGAAATCATGGGGGCGATGTAAGTTGACAAGCACAGCCGACGAGTACAGACGCATTCTTTTTTTTTTTTTTAAAGAGAAAAGCTATTAATTCTGAAGGCCGCGAGGTTATTTGTAAATGAAAGAAAAGCGACACACAAGGAAAGGTAAGGTATCAACCCCGGAAAACAAGCGACAGACCAGGCCTGAACATACAACTGTATTCGTGGATGATTTTGCTGGATGTGTCATAAAGAGAAATATCCGAGATTTTTACCTCCGTGAAAGAACACATTTCCCGTGCGGTAAAACGTCTTTATATAAAATTATGAGACAAACGGTTAGAGCAAATGTCGAAGACAACAAAAAATGCTATTTGCTAATTGGACGTCGGGAGTGAAAATTTCTGTCCAGGCTTGGGGCTACAGACAGCAAAAGTCGTGAACCCCCAATCGACAGAAGTAGTAATGACCATGACTAGAAGTCTGATCTTACCGACACATCAGAAACTGACGTTTGCAGAATAAAACTATTGAAATGAGATAATGTTTTCAGAATGGATAGTAGCATTTTTTTTTTATTGGGGGTGTGTATTTCTCTCTCTGTCGTACGGTATGACGTATCCGACAACGCCGCATACCAGCCAGAGGTTTTCAGCTCGCGAACAGTCAGTAGATAACTACCAAGTTAAGCAAACACATTCAGAAGGCTGTGAAATATGAAGGCGGGAAAGCTGCGATGTGAGTTGTGTTGACTAGGTATATTATTCTGCTTTGTTTTCATGTGTAATTTATAATTTTATAACAGACATTATGGACAATTTCCTGAAAATTGAGAAAATAGGTGAAGGGACATATGGTGTTGTTTATAAAGCCAGAGATAAAGTGAGTGGGAATCTTGTAGCACTTAAGAAGATTCGGTTGGAAACGTAAGTTGGATAATCTTGAACACGTAATGTTAATATTAATCCGTTTTCACGTAATTGACGATGTACGTGTTGGACGAACGTCCGTTTATCATACTACAATATACGTACATCACCTCGTGATGCATGGCTAAAAATTTTGATTGTATCTAATTGACAATGAAATGCATGTGCAGTGTGTTCCAATGGTCTGGTCATAACAGGAATTTGATGTATTGTATGTATCAGTTTTTGAGCTGTAAGAAATACAAATCTGTATGCTTAGTTCAAGTACCCATGCTAGTGTTTGCACCCATGAGTCTATTTGTAGAGTTTAGAATTTATTCAGCCTTTTTGAATTATTAGGCTAAGTAAAGAGTGGATGTATTTCTTAGTTGGAGTTACATATGGATACTGTGAGGTTTCAGACATTTTTATGAAACTGCCTTGGACTTGATTACAGAAAATATCATACCTTCATTTACATTGCATTTGCAAGAGACTGTTGACTTCTTGGATATATTTACAAATATTTGCCTTGGTTATTGAAGCTTATAGTATAACTAATATGATACAGTACAGTGTGCAGTTGTATGCTAATTCAGTGGGTTTGGGGAAACCAGAACTTTTAGTTTGTTAATTATTTTGCATAATGTAATCTTTATGTTTCTGCTATCAGCTAATTGTATGATTTTATTTTGTTATAAGGTTAGATTTGGAGCAGCTTCCATCTAACACAATGAGTCTTGTGCCATATTGCAGTATCATAATAATAGTGCGTGTTTATGTGGTAAAGATGTTGGTTATCAATATTCCCTTAGGTGTTCCTTTCTTTTGGTTTGTGGTTTATTTAATGATGCTATCAGTAGTTCAGACTGTGTGTTGAATGAATTGGAAATTATGTGGAAGGAAGCACTTGGGGAGGCTATTTTAAAGTTTAGTCCACTGCAGATTCATCAGTACGCAGATACTTCGAATCTGAAGCCTTTTGAATGGCACTTTGGTCTCAAGACACTAAAAGCCACGTACTGACCGCAACTTTATCTGTGAAGTTTGCGGTTAATATTTCATCGTATTCTTTCATTGATGTTGTGTATATGTGAAGACGCACTTTCCATTTGTAGTATTGTTTTTCGCAGATGATGAATTGAAATGGCCCGCTTGTAATTTAGTAAACACTTTGTTCGTGACCTTTTCTGTGGAGCCGAAGACAGGGCTGAAAATAGAAAGGGAACATGGGTTATAAAAAGAAAACCAAGCCCAATATCATCTCAGTCGTCCTGACTGGAGAAAAAGCCCATGAAACACTAAGTGATGAGTGTGTACTGCTGCCTCTGGTGTTGTTTTGTGTTCATTTCTTCCTTGCAAAACCGTTCTTTTTCAGACAGCCTTGAGTTTCGGTCCTGTGGCCTACCTTGTTCACTCTGGCTGTGATCCAGACTGAAGAACCAGATAATTCCCACCACTTGCTTTCAGTTTAAACCTGGTCGTCATAGTGTGTGTAAATTTTTGTTTTGGTTTGAAGCCACAGGAGCATCTTGCATGTGGTCATTACATTATCGCTGCTGTGATCTATTTAACTTAGAATGGATCACCATTACAGCTCTGTCTAAAAGATCAGTAAATTTCCCTTCGAAGAGGTTTGTATTTTTCACTTGTTTCTTTAAAAACAGTTTTTCCATCATTTTATTTTTGAGCGAAGTTAAGAAATGTTGTCTTGTATAAGAAGATAAATGTTTATAAAATGTTTTAACATTTGTTTTTATAAAGATCATACTTGGAAATAAAATTGTATATTCCAGCTTTCAGAAATTTTGGGCTAGTTCATGGTAGAAAGTATTATTTGACAAAATATTTGATCAATTTTAAAGGGTGCTGACGATGGTGTGTTACATTCGGGATCACTAAATTCTTGGACTATGTCCATCGTCGGTGTATTTAAAAAGAACACTACGTTTCGGAACCTGAATCTGCTTCCGTCTGCAGGTTAATGAGGTGAGAGAAGATTAAATGTTTTAAGAAAGGCTTCGGAAGGTGTCTCCAAAGACATCTTCCTCATTTCCTTTGCCTGGTTCAAAGAGAACAACTGTTTTTTACCCAGCCACAGCGGTTATCCAATCCAAATAAACTGGACTGCCCAACTTTGTGACACTAAGAGAAAGATCCATGAAGTGTGTCTATAATTGGAATGGTTTCTATGAGTTTGTGAGGTTAGGAGTAACACCATGTGGGGCACATCTATTGATATTAAAGAAAATACTACAAAGCTTATATGAGAAGTTACAGAATGTTGTCTACAGAGCTGTTTGAAGTTAAAATTGTAGCCCTGAATGGATATCAGTGTATTGAGACCGAAGTAGCGTTCAAAAGGTGTCAGATATGATTTGTGGATAGAGACGTGATTCTCCTCAGTCCCTTCTGACAAATGTCAGGATGTTACCTTTAAACGGTAGGTCACAACCATTTTTTCACCATCCTTTCCAGTTTGTCGTACATATTTAATCATCCTTTATCTCATTTGTTCCAAATAGAAAAAATCGTAGCGATTGAAAGTTAAAATGTAATCTGAAGAATCGTAAATGAAATGCCAATTTTTGAGACATGGGGGTGGGGGGGTGGAATTAAAAATAATGGGAAATAGTTTATGTCTGATCAGATAATAAATGTCGTAAATGAAATAAGCCATCTAGAATGAAAATGGCATAAGATGAACCAAATGGTAAAAGGAAACTAGTCCTTATAGCTATTGACGAGTGTTTAACAAGAACACCTGATACGAGGGCGTACCCGTTAGAGAATGTATACAAGATTGTGTGTGAGCTGAGATTAATGTATGGATCAGAAATATTGGGACTGGACGAGGGGTCGACGGAAATTCATGGGAGACCCTAGTAAAAAATTCTTGGGGATACCTGGCTTTGCAGTGAACGGGGTTGCTGGGAAGAGATAGTAGGAGGGGCAAGATATTGTGTCTTGCTGTGAAATATTGGCAAATAATTCTGCAGATGGACAATGAAGAACGAGTAAGGGCGTGCTTTGAATGGGAGATAAACAATTTAGAATTTGATAGCTGGCAAAGAAATTGAGTGATCAGTTTAGAAATACTGTTATGGAATGTGTAAAAAAAAGTTAAATGTGCAGTGTACAGAATGACAGAATCTGTTTGTAGAGAAGAGGTAAATAATTTTTTTTTAGCAATATGAAAAAGGAATGGGCTAGAGAAAAATTCATAATTTGTTGTACATGGAACGAGAAGTGGGCTACATTGGTTTAAGACTTGTATCAGGAAGTTGAGAGGGACGAAGAAAGGATTTGAGAAAGGAATATGTCCGCTAGTTGGCATGGTTGAAGATGCTATACATATATTATTAAAATTTTTTGAAATAAAGTGGAGGGAACAATTTTTGAGCAGGAAATGATTTATAAATAATGAAGGGATTGTGTACAAGAAAATAATAAATTGTATAAATATTATAGAATTAGAAATACGTGACTTCACGTATATAAAATGAGGTGCAAATGGGAGATTAAAGTCAAGAATTTATATTATGAATTGGGGATGGGGCAGTAGAAATATAGTCATAAGATAGAACATGTATAATAGGAAATAGCACTAGTAGAGATAAATATATTAAAGCTATGGGTTGCGAAAACCCCGTGTTATGTGATGTTATTAGATAACTCACAAACTATCCAGTAATAGTGTGCTGAAATGTGTTTACTGTATGCATTTTTAAAAATTGATCTTGTCTATATATGTTACATAATATTTATTATGAGATACTGTCACTGGGTGGGGCATGTAGCCTGCATGTGAGAGAAGAGGAATGCTTATGTGGTAGGTGGGAGGATGATATTAAAATGGATATTACAGAAATAGGATCAGGTGGTATGGACTGGATTCATCTGGCTCTGGATAGGGACCAGTGGTGGGCTCTTGGGAACATGGAAATGAACCTTCAGGTTCCATAAAATGTTGGGAACTTCTTGAGTGGGTGAGCGACTGTTGGATTCTGAGGAAGGACTCGGCTCCATGGGGTAAATAAGATACTGTGACAGTTGTTTGCACCTGAATAAATTATTAGGTGATTTTATTTAATCATAATGAGTCTGAAGATTCGTACATTTCTACTGGCATATTTGGTTCATTGTGCTTTGTTTTTGGGGGCAGGCAGTATGCTTCTTGCGCAGTAAAGTTTTTAGAGCGTTTAGCCTGACTTGATGGGAGGGGTGTCCGAATTTTCTGCCCGAGTCTGCGCTTGAGAAACATACTGTATAATGAAACAGCTTTGCTTTTTCTAAATTTTATTTCTATTTAGGTGTTACATAAGATGGCGAGTCATTCCCATTTTTAATGACCCTCGTATCATATTATGAACTCTTATTCTGTCTCAACACATAATCGTATAATTCTTGTGTCATACATTTTATCCATAGATTCATAGATTGGAAGAGAGTTTTTGTAGTGTCATGTTGATGGTGCAAATGTAACAGTGTCCTTTTTCAGTAAATAGGTGGATATAAAATAAACACATTTTTCTTTTATATTTCTCATTGACTCTCTGTTAAGGTGACTGAATTTTCAATTGCCCAGCATGTATGATTTTCCCTCCATTAAACCTCATATCTTGGAAGTGTGAATAATAAATAATACAATATATATATTTATTTATTTAGATAACACTGGTATGCAAGGTTTTTTTTAAAAAAAATCTCCATTCACAGTGTGAAGATTTTCTGTCTTATCAGTTTTCTCTTATCCTTACTAAGACAGTAAAAGTCTTTGTATGTACTGGTAATATACTTAAGGAAGTGCCTGTTAATGGTAGAATATCTTAACACAAGGTTGGGTTTACGTAGCATTTCTTTGTCTTGCCGCAAAGGTATCAAAGCTGTACTAACATCGGATTCTTTCCATCTGCATGGAAGAAGGCTACATTTCCTAAGTACCAACAATTGTTCAGAGCCTGAGAACCAATCATCTAGGTGTTTGACTTTCCATACTCAGATTTGCCTGTAACAAGTGTCACAAGATTTTGGAAATCTCATATGATCAGCTGTTATGTGTTCTTTGCGCAAAATGAAAATATAGGCCTGACTGTGGCTGTCTGTCCGCATGATTCAACTCAAGAATGATGGACAAATTTTGATAAAATATTTGGAACTGACATTATGACACTGGAGGCTACCCTAAACCTGTTTTAATTTCCTATAATAGTACAGATGAAAAATCTTTGAGGTGGGAGTGCCATTACGTTGACAGTCCATCTACACACAAAAAAAAATTAAATATAGTTTCAGTGTTTATTAAGAATCCACTACATTGATGAAAGACTCTTGGGCTCTGCAGAGGATATGGTGTATTCACCATTCAGCTACCTGACGCGGCTTGTAGCCTGAGAGTCTTTCATCAACTTCAGTTGCCATGAAAGCTTCATTTTATAAATCCACTACATGTTTCAACCTCAACTCAACATCTTCCTGTGGTTCTCTTCAAGTGTTTGAAACTAACAGATATTACTGCTAATTTGCATACATATTTTCTGTAGAAGATTGCTGTCTTCTGGGTTGTTGCAACGTATAGTATGATAGATTTCATCATGTAATGGACTGTGTCTTAAGCATCGTACCAATTTTAGTAGAGTGGACCTTGTGGATGTAGTTACTTGTGGAAAGCTGCAGTTGATCTGAAGGGGTTGGCTGAAGTTGAGGAGTAGATCTGGTTGGATGATAGAGCGAGGGATGGTTAGGATGGTGGATGGAGAGTATAGTTTTTAGGTATTATTGGAGTTTATCAGGATTTGAAAAATAGGTTGTAGCGGTTCATTGCATCTTCCAAGGTGCTATATGAGTGACAATTTTGTAGAATATGTTGGGAAAATCCTGTGTTAGGGTTATTAGCTTTTGTATGCCTGATTTGTTTCTTGAACCTAGGTGCTAACACCACTTAATGTGGGGTCTTACAATGATGTTTCATAATAGATGATAGGCAGCTAATAGTACGTCTGCTAGCCAAGAAATAACCTATGGAACCTGATGTTACATGTTGAATATTAGGTCCCCAGAGTTTACAAACATTTACAAATGCATGGAGATGACGTTATTCAACTGCAAGAGAAATGACATTGAAGACTATTCAATTTATACTCTCTCTGAAATACACTGCAGTGTAGTCAATTGCAGGTTATGGAATGCTTTCATTGTATGAGCTGTTGTTTGACATGGACTTGTATCTGTTAAATGAAGTGCCTAGTGAAAGTTTTGTATGAAATTTATTATTCCTGCTAAACAACTAATAGCATTCACGTTTACACACTGCTTTGAGCGTCAACAGCGTAATTTTTTGAGGTTATACTCATGTAATCTTATGAAAAATTACTGTACTGTAATGCTAACATTTATTTTCGTACCTCTTGTGAAAATTGTATTGACGACTTAATTGACAAACTCAGCACAAATCATCTTAGAAGTGTAAAAATTAACTCAAAATCTTGTGTGCTGTGATCACCGCCTTCTAGATGTAACGTCTGTAGGCTTTGAATGTTTGATGTTTTGTGACAGAAGTGGGGTGGGGGGAGGAAGCTTGTAGCTTTGTAAAATGTCATTTCTTGGGTGTTGCTTGGCGTCTGCTATACAATTATGTGCAAAATATCTGCATATTTAAAGAATTTCCCGCATTTTGTGAATGTGAAGATGTTTTATCATCGTTTTCGCATAAAGGTGAACTATGCTCGGTTGACGAGTTACTTTACCAGCTGTCATCTTAACATCATGGCTGGATTAGGCCTTTAACAACAGCGAAACTAGGAAAAGTACCCCGTAATACGGGGTACTTTTCCTTGTGAGGCATAAAATGGAAACGGAATTCATCAGGCACTCCAAGAAGTGCTGTCTGGTAAGAACTAATTTTTCGTTTTACGTATGAAGTGTAATAATTATTATTGCATGGAATTTGTTGAATACAATAACCAAGAAGTTTGATGCATAGGAACGCCCCACAAACAGTACGACTGTCTTCTAAATGAGTGGTATGGTTTAATGTGCAGAATTTATTATATCTGCAGAATGTGACATCGGAATTTCAACTTTTACATAAATTCAAATGTTAAATAAAGTCTACCAATTTAATACATAAAACTGTACCTTTGAAATCGATTATGAGGGGATGGCAAGGACTGTATTGCAAAGAAAATGTGTGTAATAGCATGGGTGTGCTGAGCATGTTTCATTGATGGATAAACTGTGTGCATAATACCAATTGGAACATGTAGGAAGAGGCAGCCAAAGGTATTGTGGTTGAATATTAAATAAAACATATAATACAAACAGATCCTGGGGAAATGTGAAGTTTTCTAGAGAGAATTTGATATTCCTCCGAATGTGAAATTAAAACAGTCGTGTTTAACCAATTTCCAAATGTAAGTCCCTTCTATTTCCAGAAATCTGACTGGTGGTAACTGCTTTTTCGATCGAAAGCAGGAGTTTTGTAATTTTTTATG